GATGGCGCCCATGGACCGCAAGGTTTTTTTGCATAAAAATCTGTCTCATGTTTGACCTTCATTTGCATTATTTTGTAACATGATAGCCTGAGCTTAAGATAGTTGCACCTTGTAAATTTAACCGATGATGTGCAATTACCTATTGTCCATTTAGGATCATTGGGTGCTAAAAGTGAAGATATAGATATAACTATTTGGGTTCATTGCCCGTACATAAAAATAGATACCTTAATTCACCCTTTATTGTATAGAACCAAAAGAGAGTCTGTCTTCTTTAAAATATTCACTTGTGAGATGGGGTCACTAAAGATTTATTATTCCACCCATCTCCAAGCCAAGACCTTGCAATAAAAGTTACAATTGCCTAAAATATGAATAAAAATAAACCCATTTGCCAAATTCAATGAAAGGTCAGACCCCCGCCAGTTCATTATGAGTTTCGAGGTAGCCGTAGCCTCCGTAGGAGGGAATGACACTATCTTGGCCAAGTCATTTGTCATCGTAGCCGAAGGAGACACATTGGCATCGTACTCAATGTTGAGGCCAAGTTCAGTATATTCATGGGAAGACCTCTAAGATAATATCATCGCTAACTTCAAAGGGTTCACCATCGAATCTCTGACATCAATGGATTTATTTTAGTGTAGACAGAATCAAGGTAAAGCGCTAAGGGATTATTTTTAGATGTTTGTGCAGCTTAAAGCGAAGGCACCAAATATCCTAGAGGATGTGGCAATTGAGGCCGCAATCAAGGGCATCTGCATCGGAGCCTTCGCGGCTCATCTAGCTCGGGAAAAGCCAAGCACTATACAAGAACTGTATATAGAGTTTGAGAAGTACTGTAGGTTAGACAATGACCTCCGAAGAAGGCTAGAAGAGCAAAATCAGAACAAGCAGTACCAAACAAGTGGCAGGAATGTTCAGAAGGGCAACAGTAGCCAAGGCCAATTGCAGCCTCAGCAGACCTCTGATCAACAAGTTTTTAACATAGAATAACAAGAAAGCAGCCAACAGCGGTAGCAAATGCTGGAGGCAGAACAAAACAAGCCATCACACAAGTAGTACGAAGGTAAGAAATACAATCAAAGGAAGAACTAGAATAAAAACCAAGAACCAAGACAACGGAGGCAGTATTGTTTCTTTCATGGAGAAAACAAAGGACACATCACCAGAGATTGCCCAGATGTGAAGGAAACTCAGGAGAGGATAAAAAGCAAAGAAAACCCTCAGCCTCCGTCACAACAACCCGTCAGGGAAGTCAACCACACCTTCGCTGCGCCTTCACAGCAGTCATATTGCCCAATCTACCCAATTCTTAACTCCAATCAAATTCACCCATCCACCTTAGCAGTCGCATACTATCCCAACTTCCTACCTGCATGGCGACCAAGCATCCAACAGTAAGGACACACAAGTAATCAGTGAGCAGAATCCAACCTCACCTACATAAACTCAAGGCCTCCACACATAACATACATAGAGACAAACCAGCCAGCTCAGGTCCATAATAGACAACTAGAAGCACCTCCGCCGCCACCTCCACCACAGCTAGCCGCTCCCAAAAATGAGCCCAACCTAGAAAATCAACTCAACCCACATACACCACTACCCACCATCGGCATGATACTGCCAATAGCCGGAGGCTCTTCAATGAAATTCTAGACAAAGAAGTAAAAGAAGGATCACCTCAGGCTCGTCAAGAATATAGCCGTCCAAGGCCTAGTGCGCTATACAGATTGGTCGAAGTTACCAATCACCTTCTCAGAGCAAGACATGCAATTAGAAAGTTACCCCCATACCGACGCTATGGTAATCAGGGCCAACATAGCGGGTTGGGAGATCAACAGGGTTCTCATAGACTCTAGAAGCTTAGCAGCTATCATCTTTGTTAATGCCTTCGACCAGATAAAACTAAGCAGGACCCAGCTGCAGCCTTCGGATTCACCACTAATCGGTTTTGGGGGAAAGAGGATTGATGCACTGGAGAAAATATCCCTGCCAGTTTCCTTCGAAGGTAAGGAAAATGCAAGAACATAATACGTAACCTTCGACATAGTGGACCTCTATTACCTGTACAACGCCATCTTCGGCAGAGGGTTTGTGAACAAGTTCAGTGCAGCCATCCATATGGGTTACTTATGCATGAAGATGCTAGCTTTGCACGGCACTATCACAATACATGGTAGTCAGGAAAAGAAGCAAGAAACATAGAAAGAGTTATCTACAAATCGTAGCGAAACATCAATTCTATTGATTCGGCAAAGAATACTGAGCCAGAGTCTCCGGACATGCCGAAGGGCAAAATAGATCTCAAAGATCAAGAAGAAACAAAGTCAGTCCCATTGGAAAATGCAGTCCCAGACAAAAAGGTCACCATCGGAGCCAACCTATCGAAGGCACAAGGAACAGAACTCATAGAAAACTTAGCCAGGAATAAAGAAGTCTTCCCTTGGTCAGCCTTCGACCTGAAAGGAGTCAGTAGGGATATCATACAACACTCCCTTGACATCAACCCTAAAATGAAGCCAAGAAAGCAGAAATAAAGGAAAATGTCCGAGGACAGAATCTTGGCAGCAAAGGCTGAAGTGCAAAGGCTGTTAGTTGCAAACTTCATCAGAAAAGTCAAGTACTTAGAATGGTTAGCAAATGTAGTGCTGGTGCCAAAGAAGAATGGAAAGATGAGAATGTGCATAGACTTCACAGATCTGAACAAGACATGCAAGAAAGATCCATTTTTGCTACCAAGGATAGACACCACCGTTGATAAAGGCAGCAAGATGCATGGGTCTAGCTCGAAGCCGCCCGCCTCAGATGCGCCTCGCTATCGGAGCCATAGTTGCTTGCCGTGCCGCCAGAGCACGGAGCTAAGCTCGACTCGCACGTTGGGCTGCTGGAGCTGTCTAGCTTGGCTCGCCGGAGCCACCCTGACCTCGCTCGCATGCGGAGCCGTTGTCTGGCATGCACTGCAGCCGCCGCTGCCGCCTTGCTCTCGCGGTGCTCACAGCTCACCAGGCACGGGCGGGTGGTCAGTGCGAGTGATGTGGAGGGATGGATAAGGACGGACACACCTGTGTGGTCAGTCCATGTATTTTTTTGTTCCTTTTTTTCTACTATGTGGGGCCCGCTTCAAACCCAAATCCAAACCCGTTATCCAAACGATGGATTGGTCTTTGAACCTTATTTCCCCGTCCATAACCTGTCTATCCATATTCAACCATATATCCCTATCCCTATCCAACCCAGCGTCCAAACGCCACCGGAGGGCAACGGGAAGGAGCAAATTAAACCATCACACAGACACAAAGGCGCGCACTTGAACTAACCCTTCCTAAAAATGTGCATGAAATGGACCAATGCAATTAAAGCACGCTCACGAGTTCACATGTAAATGAGTTTATGTAAACGACATTTGCATGATGAAGAGAAACACACAACTTATATGTAGTACATACTTATTCATTTCGTTTTGTCCCAACTTTATACTACATGAGACAACGGAAATGCAGTACGTAGCATTTTTCTTTTTTAATTATATATGGCCCTGTTCATTTCACTGAAATTTGACTTATACTGATGCTTATACTGATTTGTTGTGAGAGAAAAACACCGTTTGTTCGTTGAAAAGTACCGCTGAAATAGTAATAAAGAACAGAGCCATATATCATTAGGTGATGACTCTATTCACATTGATTAAAAGTAGCTATTCAACTTTGGTGTCCAAAGAAGAGGAAAATGCGCAGGCGGTTCTTCAACTTGACAAGGGGTGCCATCTAGGTCCCTCTACTTTCAAAATTCTAATTCTAGGTCCATGAAATTGGCTTCGGGTGTCATCCAGGTCCAAACGAGCTTGGATGAAGACAAACTCTATATGAAAATTGTAGCCCTTAACAGAATCTATAACTTTGTAGTTGAAAAGTTTTTGAATTAAAACTGTTTGGGGTCCCAAAATACTGTTGTAAGTTTACAGATTTTGAAATTTAAAATTATCAAAACATCTCGGACGTTGACATGGTCTATATGAAAGTTATATTATCAATACAATCTACAACTTTGTAGTTGAAAAGTTTTTTTATTTGAAGTCGTTTAATATCTCAAATATGTGTTCTAAGTTTTTTATTTCAAAATCTATAAACTTAGAACACATATTTGGGACACTAAACAACTTCAAATAAAAAACTTTTCAACTATAAAATTTTAGATCGTTTTGATAACTATAACTTTCATATAGACCATGTCAACATTCAAGATTGTTAGATAATTTTAAATTTCAAAATTTACGCACTTACAACAGTATTTTGGGACCCTAAACTGTTTCAATTCAAAAACTTTTCAACTACGAGTTGTAGATCCTGTTGAGGGCTACAATTTTAATATAAAGTTTGTCTTCATCTGAACTCATTTGGGCCCATTTGAACCTAGATGACACCCGAAGCCAAATTCATAGACACAGAATTAGCATTTTAAAAGTAAAAGGGACCTAGATGACACCACATACCAAATTGAAGGACCGCCCGTGTATTTTGCTCTTCAAAGAAGCCGGCTTATACAAGTGTCAGCACGATAGCACCGTGTACTAACAGGTAGTGTACCAAGCACTTCTAGGCTCCCAACAGGAAGTACAAAGTGCCATCCATAACCTTATAAAAAAAGTTCCATCCAAAAATAAAATAAAATTTTATTTTTTCTTTTTAAACTATTCTTTTTTCTCTGTTACTTTCTTTTTTTTTCTCTGTTGTTTTCTACTAACAAATAATATACAGTTTACTTTTTTTTTCTCATGGAAAACTGGAAAGGAAAATAGTACTCGGTTTCGTCTCTCTGGCTTGTTCGTTGCTTTGCCGTTTCTGCTGCCTTGGCCGGCCTGCCTTAACACCCAAGGAGTCGTCTCCTCCTGTAAGTACTACTAGTCTCCTCCCATTCCAATCCATTCCAGTTAGCGCCGCTAATCCGCTCCCTAATCACCATCCATCCATCCATCCATCCAATCGGCTTCCCCACCCATGGCGACGGCGGCGGAGGTTCCCGTGGAGGCGCCGGTGAGTGCTGCTGCTGCTGCTGCATCCTCCCTCCCTCTCTGAACCCTCTTCCGGTGGTCGGTGGCGCTGGATCCGGCCGCCTCGTGCCGGAGCGGGAGCGCGTGGCACCGTAGCGCTAGCGCCCGTGAGATTTTGGCTTTCTAGACTAGGTTCAGTCGCCTCCCGCCCATCCCGAGTGCCCGCCTGGGCTGTGTTCCTTGCTGTCCTGCCTGCGGGAGAAGCCTGGGCTGATTCGGTGGGGCTAGGGTTTGCTTGGATCTGGGCGTGGCTGGAGCGTAGGTAGCTTGCTCGTATAGTCGTATGCCGAGAGGAGAGGACCCCCGTGCGCGAATCTCTGCGAGACCGACTGGAAACAGATATAGATGGGCGCGCACTGAGCGGGAGCATGCTCGCGTCGTGTGCTTGGCAAATCTGCCTCATCGGGGACTCGTAGATCGGTCGAGAGGATTTGCTGCAAGTAGGCTTACTAGTATGCGTCCCCTAGTATGCTGGTTGACATCACAGTTTAATGATTTGTGACATGCTCTAGGCCTTGCTTTGACTCTAGCAGCCTAGCTATCAGCTTGCAATTGCCAAAACCAAAAGCATTCTGAGAAGATATATTAGGCCAAGTGCTGTGGGATAGGTCCAGAGGATTGCTGCAAGTAGGCTCATACCATACTTGTTGATACCACAGGGGATTGCTGCAAGTAGGCTCATACCATACTTGTTGATGCCCGTGAACGATTTGCTACATGTTCTAGGACTTGCTTTGACCGTCAGGTTCTACAATTGCAGAACAATCATTATGAGAAGATACTAGGCCATTTGCCATTCACTTTGACTTGCATGGTATACGCACCTTAAAATTGTCCATTTTAAGTGGACTACCGAATGCCTATGCCTTTAACACTCCTTCATTGCGAATGATGGTGCCATCAGGCCGCCTGATGAAATAATCTCTAGCCATGTGGGATAGTTGTCTGCTACTCTGCTTATTCTGAAATACCAGTAGAGGCATGTGTAAATTTTAGCTGAATACTTGGATCCTCTCTGCGGTTGTTTATACGGTTGTCAAAAAATCAATGAGTGATTTATGCGTCCCAGGCTGGTTTACTCGACGAACTTAGCCCATGAGCTTTAAAAGCGTTTCAACGGTACTGTAGTATTTACTAAGCTTGCTGCTATGATTTTTTTTTTCATTTTTAATGCTTCCCATCTGATTTTCACATGCCTGGGTATGGTTTACAATTTACATGTATGCGAATGATAAATTCAAGTTTAAGTTATGTCAGTCAACAGGTCGAAGGAAATAATATGCACTGATTTCTGCAATTGTCCCTTCCCTTGCTTCATTATGTTCTTCAGTACTTCCATATTAATGTTCCATTTACTGCAGGTGAGGACAGTGAAGGTCACCAATGTCTCTCTTAGTGCAACTGTGCAAGACATTAAGGAGTTCTTTTCCTTTTCAGGAGATATTGAACATGTGGAGATGCAGAGGTTCGTAAAACTTTTCCAACTAGGTTGCCCCTTCTCTTTTCATGTCCATACAAGCCTTTGATCGTCATCCTCATTAGCTTGCTTCTCTTTCCTTTCATCCTTTGGCAGTGGTGATGAGTGGTCTCAAGTTGCATATGTCACTTTCAAAGATGCACAGGGCGCAGAAACTGCACTTCTTCTTTCGGTTAGTACCTGGAGGCCTTAGTATGATTCAGTGGAATTCTTACAATACTTGTTGCTATAATTTTTTACTACTTGGCTATAATTGATCACCATAGCGCTACCACTTGTGTATGTTGTTGTTGTAGTATTAGAGCTACGACTAAATGCTTTACCCAAATAGAATGCTTGTGGATCTCTTTAGCAGAATTTGCAAATTGCAGGAATTGGCTGTCCTTGCAATATTGTGTTGTGTTCATGCTCCTACAAGAAAAACATCAATGCAATTTTATATGACTGACACAGGGTGCCACAATAGTTGATCTTTCTGTCATCATTGCACCTGCTCCAGAGTATCAGCCACCCCCTAGTGTCTCTGCGCCACCAATGGTATGATATGCCTCTATTTTTTATGCTCAACTTGTCTGCATCTAATTTCTTACATGAGGTTGTATCCTGAACTAAACATGATACACAACTGTACATGTATTTTGTATGTGAGGAAACTGAGTTTTTCTTTAATTTCATGGATGCCACACCACTGTAGTCTTGCTATCTGTGAGTGCCATTGGCATATATCTGCATCTTAACTTCAAATCAAATCAGTAGATTAAATGAATGCTTATCGCTGTTCTAGTTGGCAAGCAGAACCTGTGGCGTTTTTGTTTACTTTCCATCATTGGTCTTCTGTTAAGTAATTTTGAAAGGGCACCCTCTAAATGTGAAACTGTAATTCGTTCAGCATAGCTAAGAATTAAGGTCCCTGGGGCCAAGTTTAATGGTGAATTGCATGTGTCTATCTATTTGGCATCCAGTTATCTTTTTGCAAGTCACGCTTTTGAGAATTATTATCTAGTGTGGTTTTCATGCACCAGAGACCATAGCTTGTTTCATTGTCTCTCCTGTCCAGACTCCAGAATTGTATTTGTGATGTCAAAAGCATTCCTTGTTTTATATAGTAGTCAGATAAGAACAACTCCATTATGTTTGTTCTCCTTTTAACAAAAAAATTCATAAGTAACTTGTACTGAACATTATATTCTGTTGTCAGAGTGGAACCAGAGTTCCAGTTGGTGGAGACAACACTGTTGTCCACAAGGCTGAGGATGTTGTGAGCACTATGCTTGCTAAGGGTTTCGTGCTAGGCAAAGATGCGGTTGGCAAGGCCAAAGCGTTCGATGAGAAGCACGGCTTCACATCCACAGCCGGTGCTAAGGTGGCCTCCATTGACAAGAAGATTGGGCTGAGCGATAAGATCACCACGGGCACTTCCTTGGTCACGGGGAAGGTGAAGGAGATGGACCAGAAGTTCCAGGTCTCTGACAAGACCAAGTCTGCATTCGCCGCCGCCGAGCAGAAGGTGAGCAGCGCCGGGTCCGCCATCATGAAGAACAGGTACGTCTTCACCGGTGCCTCATGGGTCACCGGCGCGTTCAACAAGGTCACCAAGGCTGCCACGGACGTCGGGACGATGACCAAGGAGAAGATGGCGGCCGAGGAGCAGCAGAAGGGCTCTGGCCCGTCCTCTGGGGGCCACTCGTACACGCCCATCCGATGATTCGTTGGCTCGCTGTTATGCGCCCTCCCTCAAACAGTGTTGTATTGCATATTGGTGGATGTAGATATATAGAACAGATCATCAGGCCCCTCTCACCACATGTTCATCGTTCCATATTCTGTTAAATTTGGTACTGTGGGGTTTATACGAATCCATGTTCAGACTGGTTGTGGTGTGAATGAACATTTTGTAGAAGTGGTGGGAAGTTACCCAAATAATATGATGTTGCTGAATCAACTTGCCATCGGCAGGCTTGTGTGTGATCCCTATTTGCAGTTATTTTGAACACATCTAGTTAAAGAGTGTGTTTCGTACCATAACCTGCACAATCTCCAGATCTACTGTAACTATTTGAATCAGAATTGAATTGATTCACAAAAAAAAAAAATCAGAATTGAATCGCAGCGGTGTCTTGGATTTGCTACTATCTGTGATTTGTCTTTGTATTTGTCTATAATTTTGTAAGGAATGCCTCCAACAAAGTCGTCGTAGTATAGTTGTGAGTATTCCCGCCTGTCACGCGGGCGACCCAGGTTCGATCCCCGGCAACGGCGGTTTTTTTTTTGTTTCTGCCTGGATTTGGGGGGTTAACCTGAAAGAAAACTGTTGGGGCGTAACCCTCTTAGCGACACGTCATATCAGAATCCAGGTATGGTGTTAAATAGGCAAGGGCCGGGTCGGCACCCCCTTGGTGACGCGCCATGTCGTGATCTGGGCATGGTGTCAAGTGAGCAAGAATTGAGTCATCGCTTCCTTAGTGGCGCACTACATCGGCGCCCGGGTGTAGTGAAAAATGAGCAAGGGTCTTCACATCTGAGTCGACAGGTGCGAAGGGTAAGGAAGCTAGTCGAACCAACTAGGATCCGTTTAGGTAGTTGGAATGTAGGGTCGCTTACAGGTAAGTTAAGAGAATTAGTTGATACCGCGACTAGGAGGCGTGTAAATATATTATGCGTTCAAGTGACTAAATGTAAGGGTCAGAAGATGAAGGAGGTGGACAATACATGTTTCAAGGTTTGGTACACAGGGACAGTCGCGAATAGAAATGGAGTAGGAGTTTTGATTGATAAGAGCCTCAAGAATGGTGTGGTGGGAGTGAGAAGGCAAGGAGATAGGATTATCTTAGTCAAGCTTGTCGTTGGTGATATGATCTTGAACGTAATTAGTGTGTATGCCCCCCAAGTAGACCCTGATGAGAGTGCTAAGAGACAGTTCTAGAAAGACTTAGATGGCCTAATTAGAGTTGTACCTAGTAGTAAGAAGCTTTTTATAGGAGGAGATCTTAATGGGCATGTAGGTACTACAAATGCAGATTTCGAGACAGTTCATGGAGGTTTTGGGTATGGTAGTAGGAATCAGGAGGGGGAGGAAGTTTTGGACTTCGCGGTAGCTTTTGACCTGATGATAGCCAACACTTTCTTTAGAAAGAGAGAATCTCATCTAGTGACCTTAAGTAGCGGACAACACTCTAGCCAAATTGACTTTGTCCTCGCAAGAAGAAAGGACAAACGAGCATGCTTGAGTTGTGTAACACCCTTGGTGTTACATTATACAGTTTTTTGCTAAAACACTGCATGAGCATCAAATTGGTGTGTAAATATGTGTAAACAGGGTATACAGCAATGCACGACACTTGAAACGTTCATCTGAAACAAGAAATAAATGTTACATTTCATGTCTCTTTATATCGTTTAGGGTTCTAAGTGAATTTTTATCGAACAAAAATGCTATAGAACGTTTATGCGAACTTTGATAAAGTTGTAGTACGAACTTAGTAGGCAACGATGAAATACGTGCGGTCGAGGATGAGGTTCGCTAGCTAGTATCTCAAGTAGCTCGGAAATGGAATTCGACACGAAACCGTTCGAAGTTTAGTCGTTTCGCGTAAGTCTGTAAATGGGTCGACGAAGCCATGTTCGGCAAATTTTGTAGAGCGATCGGGTTAAGAGGTGGCATGATGCTTTGGTTTAGTTCGACAGCCCTAGGTACCCTCTTGAGTGTAACATAGCTGGTTTGACTCTTGAATCATTGGGTTTGAGTTTTTGAACGGCTTTAAAAAGCGTGCAAGCCACGGATTGAGCCATGCCAGCGCCTGGGGCGCGGTCACCGCCCTGTTCGGCCTGGTACCACTGTGCTGGCCTGCCTAGCACGCTGTCGCGCTAGCCACGTCGCCACTACCGCGCTTGTGTGGGCACGCCACGCGCGGGCCGCCGCACTGGTCGTCCCTGCCACTGTCCTCGCCCTACTGGCCACGCCACGTTGCTGCCCTGGCACGCCGCGAACGCTCCCCCACCGGCCGCCATCCCGCCTGCGCGCGCACACCCACGCGTTCACCCTGCGCTGTCGGCCAGGGTCTCCTGCTGCCGTGCACTGGCACACGGCACGCACGCGCGCTGGGCCCGGCCTTGCCTGGCTGCTCTGCCCCTCCTCCAGCGCGTCCGCCCGAGGCTGCTGCTCGCCGTCGCATCGCGTCGCGTTGCTCGCACTGCGCACCGTCCGGCGCTGTCATCCTGCTACTGCTCCCGTTGACATCGACTGTGCGCGCGCGTGGGCTTGCCTTGCTTGCCTCGTTCTCGCGCTTGCGCGCGAGGCCAAGCCAAATGTGCTGGTCACATCGCCTGGAAGGTCGCCGGCCGGCCGAGCCGCGCCAAAGCAAAATCGTTGTGTTGGCCCCCTTTCTTTGTATCGAGCACGTTTGGTGGTCGAGTGGAAGGACTGTGTCGTGCCTAACCGGCCACTGCTGCGGTGGTACAAGGGAGGGGCGCCAATTTGAATTTTTACCGTCGCCGGCCGCCATAAGTCCGTAGGCGTCGACCCTGCAAATTGGCCTCGCAACACTCCACCGTTTTCCAATTAACTATGCACACTACGAGCTCAGATGGTTAGCTTTCGAGTGAAGTTGTCTCGGCGTTCGTTCGGCCTACAGTGAGGTGAGGCGGGGCGTTCCCCTCGCGGTGGTCCTCCATGGCCGCCGGAGCGGGCGCTCGGCTAGGGCATCGTGGTGTGTCCTATTGTTTCAATTGAGTTGTGCCTTGCATCGTGTTTTACTTGTTTGCCTCGCCCATGTAGCAGTTTCGCTGGTGGAGCAGCAGGTCACCGGAGACGCCGTCGCCGTGCTCGCTAGGAACCAGAGTCACCCTGTTTTCGTGGCCAACCATCTTGCCGAGCCTCATGCCTTCGCCCAGTCCATCCCTCACATGTCTGGTGAGGCCCTGATGCTCCTAGGGTAGCTGGTTGACTCAATTAGGGCCGAGGTTCGTCGGAGCGCGTGACCGTCCCCGGTGAACGTGGGTAGATGTCGTTTCCATGGCCGACGTGCTTGAATGTGGTAGCGGTTAAATTAGAACTTCTACATTGTTTAACATATTTTGTAGATGGTTAAGGAGTAGCGGTTGAGGCGTTAGGCAAGGTTTATTCACCGGCATTGGCGCCACCGCGGCCAAACACCGCCGTGGTGCGTGGCCATGCCTCTATGCGTCACCAACCGGGCTGTTTAGTACCTCTATCGGATGCGCTTGAGTTGAGGAGTGTCGCGGTGCTAAGAATCGAGGCCGTCGAGGTGCGTGCTCGCCGACGTGAGGCCGGGAGGGTCATGGTCTCTGTTAAGTTCAGCCAGGGACGTCGCGACGTAAATTTGAGGCAAACCAAGGGGCTAAGTGCTAGAGTCAGTGAGAGAAGATAATAGTGGAATGGACAGCGATTTCAATTGTTTGGAATCCGAGGGCTCTTTTGCTTAATGTGGCTCATGTATGGTCTTCCCTCCGTGGGCATTGGGCAAGATAAGATGGGCCATGCATGTTGGGCAGCATGGTCTTGCAACAGGCGAGTGAGAGCATGGGCGTTCGGGGGTGGGCCGAGCCATTCGGAAGCGGGCAGCGCAAGAAGGGATTCGGTCTTTCTATTTCAGCGAATTATTGAAGATTTATTCGATATAGTTTCAAACATAAATTTGAAAAATGATAGTAAATCTTGTAGATGTCCAAAAAATAGTGAAACTAATTTTGTTAGGTTCACAAAAATACCATCTACTTGTTAGTATAGTTAGATTACAGTTAGCTGTGACAATGGTAGGTTCATAAATTCAAACTAAAGAGCTTAGTATTATGTAGATTAATAATTGTAGGAATTTTTGTGGTAAATTGGTGTTAGCTATGGCTATGAAAATTTTACAGTAGGCTCACTAGATTATTATGTACTTGCTGTAAATTTTATAGCCCTAGAGTAAGTTGATAAATAGAGTAGCTATTATCCTTGCTTTAACGTATATAGCGTAAATCAGTATTAGGAGTAAGAATACCTGAAGTGGCTATATTAATGAATGCCATACTTCAAACTTGTTATCGGTAACAATAGATAGCTTAGTACCGTGGTCGGTAGCACTAGCTTAGTAGTGAAACAGATGTACTTTTATTTTAAGAGTTGTTGTTGCTATATTACTAAGCATCTCATCATCATTTCATGCATGTAGATCATGAGTTGGTAGAATTCGTGCCCATCGACGAACAGGAGTATGACAAAGTCATTGAGGAGTACGAGGAGGAGATCCTCGTGCAGGAGGGAGCCCTAGAGCCGTTTGGTGCTGACCTTACTGACCCGTCGCCTGCCCAAGGCAAGCCCCGGTGCATAACCCCTATTTTATGATCACTGAATACATATATATGATGTGCATTTAACTTACAGGCATTTTATGGAAACTACATGCATAAATATATCCACCCATGAGTCCTACTAGTATAGGTCGAGTAGCTGCTATGCTCAGGATGTCGGTAGAGTGGGTAACCTGTCGTTACTCACAAATAGGTGATAAATATGATCACTCATGATAAAATGGCGGAAAGGAAAATGGTGACCGGGCAAGGATATGGTTTGGGTACTGGTGGGTGTAAAGGGTTGTGTCCTGCGGCCAACAGGGCATAGCTCGGTTACACTTTTTCCCTGTCTGTATCAATTAAGGACCAGTCGTTGCATATGGCTCTAGGCAAGTCACAGATCTATTGTCC